CCGCTTACTGAAACGACTGATATGACTTGGGAGGTTGCTGTCACACCACTTTGGAAGAGATTCGACATGAGCTTTCCGTGTTGGAACAAAACCAGGCTCCTGAATCCGACGACCTTCCCCATCTGTGTTGAAACACAGTGACTTCTTGTTGATTGGACTTGCTGCTCTATACAACACCATTTAGGGTACAGAAGGGATGCCTCCAGATTGATGACTGTCAACTGTTGTCCCCAACTTCAAATAGGATCACGGACATTGTGCGAAAATTACCGGGGGTATTAACCATCTTTCCATTGCCTCCAAACTTCTCACGAGTATCATTCTTCGACAAGTTACTGGTTCTCGTGTGATACGACCGCATATTTATTCTTCGGCACAAGTTAGAGCAGAGAAACTTACAGACAACCGACTATAGTGATTTTACTTGACTTAACATCCGCCTTCAACGCTGTTGATCGTGCCAGCCTGTAGCACTCTCTAACAATAAAAAGCATACCTAGGAACTTTCTCACTCTGAAATCTCAACCTTGGATTCCGAGACCGTGTAAGGGTATACGCGAATCTGTCTCATGGTTTCCCCACGAGAAGTGAGCTTCGCCACGGCTGTCATATATCACATTTCTTCAACTTTATGGCTTAACTAATCATGAATGACTCGGTTCTTTCGGACTCTACCGGAGGGAAATTTCTGTCAGCTGACCGATTTACAAACCTTGAATATGCGGACCACATAATTTGCCTTGGATCAGACGCAATGGTTTTGTAATCATTGCTGATTATACTGCTGCGTAGCGCTGCACGCTTCGGTGTGCACTTTGCACCTAGAAATGGACCCATACGTCACCGGATTTGGCTTTCAACGAACAGCCTCTAGAAGTGGTGGATTGATTCACTTACCATAATAGCTGTGTCAGCTCTGGTGGCCATATCACTGAGGAGAATACTTCGCGTATCATCATGGTCCGTGTGGCTTTCCAAGGACTCGGCTATCTATGGAGATCGCGGGATATCAACCTGCCAGTAAAAACTAGGGTGTATGACGTTGAGGTGAGGCGGGTTTTGCTGTATAGATATAGGAGACCTGATCAGTTCACAGTGAAGACATTAAATGATTGGCCGTGTTTGATCACTGATGTTTGTGGAGCATTACTCACGTTTGGTGGGAACACCGAGTGAACACTACTGAGACCTGCTAGTTGGTTTTTGACAAGATGCCTTCTAGTGCCTCACTCGTGTGTTTACTAAAGCTCAACCGCTTATTTTGGCTAGATCATGTCCTCCTTATGTCCGTTGACCGGCCTGCCCCATGTATATTATACGCCGTCACTGCAACTAGTTGGATGAAACCACGAAATAGTAAGTCGATAACGTGGCATTAAGGTGCGAGAAATTCACTGAGATGATTGGCCGGGCTGACGCTTGCCGTATACATGGATGGGGCCCCGGGACGGTCCACACCAGTGGTCAGAAATTCTACCAGACATAGTGCAGTCGCGCAGTCACTAACGTTCCTGCATTCGGCCGTCAATTTCGCATATCGCTCAGTTTCGTGTATCTCATTTTTGCTTTCATTTTTCTTGTACTCTATTTGCATTCAACCTCCTTTTCTTACGTGCTTTTATTATTATTCTGGCGACGTGAGTCGGAGCAACTGGATCCATCACACTTTGGTGCCCGAACCATAGTCGTCCAACTGAACTTAACTGACCCACTTTCTACTAAACCATCCTATGAGTTATATCGTGACGCTCTATCTATCTTTGAATCCCGTTTTACTTTTGCCTGATTTCTAGTTAGTTCGGTCACTTTTACCGTATTTGAGGCAAGGGTTCTTTTCATTGCTACTCCCGTTATGGTACTCTATTATTGGCATTGGTGTAGCTTGCTCCGTACAGTTCGGTATTGTTAGCGCTGATGATGGTTCTAAGCCCTCGGTGGTTACTGTAGTTCCATTTACCACTACACGCTTGAACTCCACACTAGACTGTTTTCACAACGGTTATGGTTTTCCTATACCCTTTCTGTGCTTGGATCACGACGTGCATTATCATTCTGACTGCGATTTGCTTTGGAGCAAACCCCAAGCACCTCGATTACGACGATCGCATCTACAGTTGGCGAACGCTAACCATCGCTCCCTTCTATAACTACACTCGATGACTGTTTCCTTCCATGAGTCACGGGCAATGCTGGTCTTCAGCAAAGCAAATATTCACATTTCATTAATATGAATCAATATCAGAAATCAGTTCAGGGTGAAGAATTTTTTTCGGTAAACTCTCATCAGACCCAAACGTTTAGATAGCACTGATTTTGGGGAAAGCCTCAACTCGGGCTGGGTTTGACTTCTGGACTGTCTGAACAATCAAAATCGATAACTTGAGACTGAGATATAGATGGTATGCCAAGTGAACTAACTAAACATGCATACAATACTCAGTAGTCCGAAGTAATTAGGTAGGTAACGTAACAACCAACTAGAGAGAGCCAGAGCTATAAATATCGATACTCGCATTCAACACCTGACCACCGAGGTCATCATCATCATTAGTCTACCCGTTAACTGAAAGTGAGAAACACCTTAGGTTCTGTGCTGCAATGTCATTTAATTCGTTTGTTTCAAAAAAGGAAAGAAATACAGTGTTGTGCCCTGTCTTTATTGTTCTTCAAGATTGAAACCGTGATTGTGAGGTGAGCCTAAGCAGAAGGGGGAGAGATGAAGGTATTTTCAACAAATTTCACTGCGTTCGTCTCTTAGTCATGTTAATAAACGTCAGATTAAACCCATTTTTTGTCATGGGTCTCAACCGAGCCCAAGTCAGAAGTGAGGGCCCTCCTTCCTCTTTCATGCACACATTAGTCGCGCAAACAACGCATATCGCAGAAGCTGGCGTACTGACGTGTGCAACACGTTCCTACCATCGGAACCTTATGCATGAGATTATTGTGCTGATCGGCTCACTTGCTCTTCATGAGCCATAAACAAGGCGGCGAACAGTGTCACACGGTGTTTACGGCAGATATGGTATGAACTGTGATAGTTCCAATGATCGAATGCAATTCGCCTTTTTACGTCTGTTTGTCTTATAGGCCAGATTTCGAAATCATACAGTAGGACTGAACGGATGGTTGTTGTGTGGAGTATGGGATACTAGTCGGTAAGGAATGACACGTAAGACGTGACAAATACGGGACGGTATAGAAGTCGGAGGCGACTGAACCCAACGTATATTGTGTAGGCTACAAAAATAGTAAGCGAATCAACCAGAGCGAGAAACGGTGCAGCAAGGTACTCACCAAAACGATTTGTGTCCACGAATGTGCAGTCAGTAAAACAAGTGGACATTTTGAAGGTTAAAACAATCGTAAAATTTAATGTTGCAAAATAATGGAAGAGCGTGCTTTCCGGCACACTACATGGCAGCATTACAAACGTTAATCCTCTGGATGAGCGTGGTTTGCTACTAGTGCCGTAATTGACAAAGTTATACAAATACGTCACATGCTTTTGCGACACAGTTTGTGACCTCAGCTTCTGTTTTGCAGGCGCCTATATAGCTGCCTAGGTGGTTGAATCTTAGCAATTTCTAGGTGGTCCCCACAGGAGTTAGTTTTTTTTCCATAAATTACAGAGCGAGAGCGCAGTTTGGGAATGCAAACATGGCCTGAAACTATTGATGGCCATTGCTTATCTGTCCAGCATTCCCCGTGACAGATAAAGGAAGTATCGTCTATGCGCTCCAAGTCGGTAAGCCGGTAACGTGAGAGCAGCTCCATACTATCGGGTTTTCTTAGCTTTGTTGGAAGGAGACAACGTGCATTATTCTTCCCTTACATGGAGGTGTTGAATGATGATGGCAGCTTGCCACAATGCTTCAAGTAACTACACGCCTAAAGCAGTCTTTAGTATTTACCTTTCGGGCACATGTTTTTTAATCAAATAATGGCGAAGAGCACTTTCATTGGATCGAGGGCAGCTTCAGTGCCGCAAACACTGAGCAGGGCTGGCCGCAAATATACCTCACGGTGCTCCGTTAAACGTGGGCAATTCAGCTTCCATTTCGACAAAATTTGATCTGCTTTTCGTCAATTTGACTTACATGAGTGCCATTCAGTCTATGAAGAAAGGCAGAGACAGGAAACTGGAAGGTCATGAAGGTGAAACTGATCATACGGTCAACGAATTCTGAGCACCCTTTGAATATCAGGACTATAATGGGGCAATTTCGGTCGGTTGCGACAATCTCCCACTCAATCAGTTTTATTAATAGACCGTGAAAGTCATCTATAAGAAGTGATCCCCGAATTCGAAGAAGGCTGGAGGTACTCCATCTGATCCCACGGCCTTACTTAATTTCAGCAATTCGATCTCACGTTGGACCTCTACACGCAAGAGGAACTCCGAAAGGAGAGCCCGGAGAGTAACAAGATCACTGGTCGTCACGGAAGTTCATAATTCCGACTGATTAAACGGCTTTTCAGTATATTTAACCCAGTATTGCAATCGCCTCAATAGGTTGTGAATAAATTGTTCCCTTGTTTAATATGGTTTCGCTCACATCAAGCCTCCCACCATCAGTTTTCAGTATCAGACGGACTAACTTCGGTTGGTTACCGAAAGCACAATGACGCTACCAGACCATGCGGTCTTTCTTTGGGTTAACGCAGATGTATTGTTCCCAGCCGAGATTTGCCAGTGAGCATCGAGAAATTCCATGGACTGCGTAATGCCCATTGTATAGGCGCAAATTGGTAGATTGTATCAGTGACAGTTTTCACTCTTGTCTTAACATATGTTCTGCTTCACATCTCTAATAGAAGTCTTCTGCTGTCGCTGTCTTTCGTTTACCATTTATAAGGTGCATCTGTTCTTTCATACAACTGATGCTTTTGTTGATCATGTTAGCCTTACTGGTCCAGTTTATATTTTGGTACTCTGCTTTGCAGTTTATGTTCGATTAAATACGTATATGTCGTCTACAATCGCTTCCATTTTACAGGTAGTTCAGGATGCGGTTCATGGTATGATTGAGTTGGAACCACTGGCCAAATTGATTGTTGATACACCGGAGTTTCAGAGATTGAGGGAGATACGTCAGCTGGGACTTGCACACCTAGTTTTTCCCAGTTGCCAGCACACGAGATTTGAGCATTCAATCGGAACCTACCACATGACCAAACGTCTTGCAACAGCAATAAACTGCGACGCAGCCTACATTGGTCCTCGGATGACTAGTGAAGAGCTGTTAGCACTCAAAATTGCGGCCTTATGTCACGATCTTGGTAAGCTCGCAAATTTCAATTTATACGTATCTTGTTTTACAAAGTTGATGATATATTCTGTATATCTTTTGTGGCGCTTGTGTTTCACAAAAAGACATCAGCAGTACCCCGCTGTGCAGTACCGAAGATTCGCTGCCGCGCAACCACACCAGTCAGGCGTGGCTAAGGATACTGAGTGGATCGCCCGGTCCCATACACAGGCTCGAACCCGCGACCTATGGATTGCAGTGCGTTTGTGATCCTTAATTCCACGGATCGGCTTGGGTTTTTACAATGCTCTAGCTTTTTCAGCTTAGCTGATCTGTTTTAATTCATACGTTGAAGTACTACGTTTCCCAATCACCAACCCATGAGTGTGAAGAAGATGAAGGCACATACAGAAATAGTGTAGCATGATGAAAGAGTTTAATGTTGGAAGCAATCGGGTAGATGGGAGAGTGTCACTGACTTCTTTACCATCCTAGCCTTCATTGGTTCCATCGGCGTGTCCCATCCCAGGGCTCCCATACATGAAGGCAGCACGCACCGGTCCGACTCAGCCCTCTGTCCAGTTTCTTCATTCCTTTGCCAAGTTTTAATTGGCCATCTTAAGGTTTCATCTGATTATACACAGCAGTAACAAGCGGTATAAGTCGATGTAGTCTATCGGCAGACTTGGTCATTAGGCCAAGTGCATTTATCTAGAATCTAGTAAACACCCCAGTTTGCCGGTCACTAACAGGTGAACTTCGATGTAACGCAGTAGTTACCCTCAAAGGTATGAACGGCAATTCACAGACACTGGTGGTCAAACACGCCCAGTCCTTTCAGTGCGCAATGATTGTGCCTCCTGTCTCTACAGGGCTATCGGTATAAAGGTACAGTTTTACTCTCTACCCTTGGTTCTTCACCTCTGTGCTGGCCTCAGTTGGAGCGTCACGGCTCTCTGGTTGGGGTCCGAAAGACGGTGAACACGTTTGGCTGGATACACTTTCTCACATGGCAAGGAACCGACCTCAGTGGCGTTTGTGCTGTGAGTTTCTTTGTTCCTCCCAATCCCTTTTAGCCTCCCCCTCCACCTACGATCTCATTTCGTAGGGTAAAACATAATTATTTTTTTTCTTTTTGCCTAGTAGCCGGCTGGTAGCTTACCGGCACGATGCTTATCCGTTGCTGGTAGCTCAGCTGCCATGCAACTTTTGTATTCATTTTCTTTTTTCATTTATGTATTGCGACACAGTAGCTGAGGTGTTTCCCACCTCTAGCTGACGTGTATAATGATAATGATCTACCCTTGATTGGTGGGTCGATAGCTCCGTTTTCCCATGAGGCACCTCTACCGCCTGTGCACCAGCGTATCCTTTCCGGACCTAGTGGATGCAATCGATTAAGTCGATGGACCTGCCTTATGGTATTACCCATTAAAGTACGGAGCTTTTGATAACTGCGTCACTGTTCTACGAGTGCGATATGGCTATACTTCATGGAGAGTGGGAAGATATGGCATGCTTTTTACACCCTTCCATGTATGCCCCATGTTGAGGCTGATGTTGCTTTCATGATGCTTCTTCACCGCAGTTGAGCTAAACGAATTTACACTGAAACTACGTTTTTTTAGCTGGATAAATTTCATTCCACTTTATTTGGTTTCTTGTGCCTACTTGAATAAACGTCTATTATGGAACCTCTCCTAGTTTCAAATGCTATGGATATAGCGTATAGTGAGAGGAAGTCATGACCTTCAGAAGCTAGCCACTGTCACCTGCTAAGGTAGTAACCTGCGTGGCAGTAGAAAATAGGTCGTTCTACATCTCAGTTGGCTTGCAAATTGTGCAGCCCAGCCGACGTCCCCCATCGCTCAGTGGCTTAAGCTGCTGGCTAGTTGGCATCTGCCTCTAGCGGTCTTGGGTTCTATACCCCATAGGAGACCGGGGAAATGCGCACCACTACCGAGCCCCAATAGGGCGAAACGTGTCTGGTGCTTTTTCGGACTAGGCTTTGTTATGTAGCTTGTTAGCAGCAAGGACGAAAACATTACAATCTTCTATTAACTTGCACACGTTGCTTATACTAATTGTTGTTATCTTCGTTAACTTTGTCGCGTTTGGAGCAATTTTTTGCATAAATTCTGGACATTTTGTACTTATCGCCGGTTCGTTGATAACCAACTTACTTCATATGCTAATTTAGCGAAGAGTTATGTTGGCATAGTCGTATGTCTTAACAGATATTTTATTTGATATTGTTATTTCAAGTGATTGGCTGTTGCTTGACATCCCCGGTGTGGCAGCGCTTGACGTGAATTTTGACAAGGTGCCTACCTGTCTGTTACCCACTGCCTCGTCCATACTGGCTCCAGGAGACAGTTGGTCGTTGTTGGAGGGGAGAGTGTACACGGTCATTGTTGTCGTGCTAGGCTCGAAGAGTGGCTCCATGCACTCAGCGTGGAGCAGACTAGGGTCCAGCCACCGTCTTGTGTGCACTTGATTCCCCAAATACAGCGTGCTTGTGCTTGCCCGTAAAGGAGTGCGGGCCGACTCCGTTGATGAAACCTGGCTCCCATCCACATGCCTCCCGGTCTTATTCATTCGGGTTTACACTGAATATGGGGTGTGTGGATGGAGCTGTGGGTAGTGCAGCACCAGCCAGCTATGGTCCCTCTGTAGACGCAGGCGTCCTGTGGCTGGCCACAATGACAGGCAAATCCGAAACCGGATGCCGCCAACCATGCTTCCTTTTCGGATTCTTCTCCCCCGAATATCAAGTAAATGTCTGCGTAGACCTTTACATGATGTGAATCCAAATAAGCGTGCTACATAAACTGCGCTTTTGTGTACTCCCCCACCACCTGAATTCGATTGCAAGGTTATCTGCTTTGGACCAAGCCTGTTATGATGAAGGAAGACAACAGATTGCAGAACGCTTCTCTAAGTGTTTGTAGTTGACGCTTGCGAGAAATAGACCATTGCTTTCGCTCAAATTGAGAAGCCTTTTAGCTGAGTCATGCTCGCTAGACACGTGCTGATCATCCAGGTGCTACCGCATAAAAAGAACTTTACACTGCAACGTGACCAGGTAGCCATCTGGGTAGTGGTTTCGACTACTATTCTAATGGTCGCGGGTTCGAGGCCTGCTATCTTCACCTGAAGAGATCAAATCAGCTCGAAACACGTCATGCTTGTGCAGTGTTTTCGGGCTGACAACACCCAATTTCCATCTGCCTCGGCTACGGTCCCAGTGATCGCAGCGACCAAGGTTTACTTCAGTGTGAATCGCGGTCCACATTGAGATTGCGCGTCGCCGTCCAATCAAACAAAGTCTAATCCAGAATGATCCCCCAATCGACATTTCATTGCAATATTTATAAATGTTCCGGATAAAAGACCTGAGTGACGACGACAGCACGAACTCATACAGACTATTCTGAAAAGTACAGGTCTCAGCGTTCGGACCAATACATCCGATAGCAATATCATCTACATAATTGCACTCAATAAAGTTGGACGGTATAGAGATTTCTTGATTTCTAAAGAAAATAGTGGGGAAGAGCATCGCTCCTTGTAAAGCACTACTTTGTTTCGTTACGCTTAGTGAGGTGTGTACGGTTTGTAAAATAGTCGGGGCACTGACAGTGTTAATTTCCGAACGGTCCTCGCGTTTGTTTTTATTTAAAAACCTAATAGCTGCTTTTTACAGATATCGATACTTATTGCCACTTTGCGCTGCACTTTACTAGCCCACAACAGGAGCACTGAATGTGTGAACACACTTTCATTTCCTGTGTGTGCTACCACGATACCACCGGATCCTACAGTGATGCATTGATTTATTTACGTTTCACTTCCTTCTGGCTACACTGGGTTGCACTTTCTAATGCGCCGGAGTTACACGAGACAAATCATTAGCTAGAAACCAGTCGAACTGAATACCGGTATCCAGTTCGACGGAGGTTGTACGCGGTCGATCACTCACTTTTCTCAAAACAGCTATGATAAACAACATATTAACGGTTACACATTTAGTCCGATTGGCGCGAAGCACATCCCGGACTGTAGCTAGCAACAGGCGATCCCTTTCACATTCAACTTCTAACCACTGTGTAAAGCTCTACCCGTGGAGCTCAATGGTCTAGTGATTAGACGCGAACCACTATGTGCTGAGGTCCACCCCCAACTTAGGCTATATCTACTTGATGAGTCCAACCAAGAACGGAACCGTCGGTCGTGGAGTACAGGGATGGGAGAGAGCAAGACCGAAACCCTCCACTTCCGTCGGATACGGTCCTAGTGATCGGAATGGCAGAGGTTGAATTCAAAGTTAACGGAGGCCACAGCTAAGATTGTGTTGCACTTCGAGACACGCGACGGATATTTCGAAGCCCAACATTCCAACATTTAATGTGGCTGCCTTTGTTGTTTATGCCCCATGCTAAGTCTGATGTTGCGTTCTTGATGCTTCACCGCAGTTGGGCTAAACCAACTTACACTTAAACTAGGTCTTTTTAAGATGGATAAATTTCATTCCACTTTATTTGATTTGTTCTGCCTACCTGAATAATCTTGTATTAACTTGCCACGTTGCTTACGCTAATTGCGCTTATCTTCGGTAATTTTGTTGCGTTCGTAGCATTTTTAAGTAACTTGTGGACATTTCTTATCGCGGATTTGTTGCTAACCAACTTACTTCATATGGTAATTTAAGGAGTAGTTATGCCATCGTATCTGTATGCATTATTGGATTTATTTTATTTCATCTTGTCGTTTAAAGTGAATGGCTGTTGCTTGATATCCTCGGTCTGGCTGCGCTTGATGTGCATGTTGATAAAGTGCCTACCTGTCTATTACCCACTACCTCGTTCATACTGGCTCCAGGAGACAGTTGGTCGTCGCTGGAGGGGACGGGGTGTACGGTCCTTGTGGCCGTGCTAGACTCGAAGAGCGGTTTCACGCACTCAGTGTGCAGCGGGCTAGGGTCCAGCCACCGCGTTGTGTGCACTTGATTCCCCAAATACAGCGTGCTTG